ATATATATATAATTCATTACTATTTTATAATGATTATTTTTAAGAGTGTTTTGAATAATTTAAAAAGATAACTTTAATTTGTTACATTCTTTATTTATTTATTGTCATATTTTTTCTCTCTTTTTTTTTATATTTTTAATCATCCTTATTTTTGCACTAGTCATGCATCCTAGTTATGAGGTATAATAACTTGTTATTTGAATAAATAGAAAAGACATTTTTAATTAAACGCATGTAAGGTAGATTGATTTGACTTTATCATATTATAATATGCTACGAGTTTTTTTCTAAAGGACATGGAGGCCATATTGAACATTTAAAATGTGAATAAAATATTATTTTTTTACATAAAAAATACCATCTTAATTCTTGAAAAAAATTGAAATCCATAGAATTAGTCTTTAAAAAAAATTATTTTTTATTCTTCAAAGATAAAAAAGTACACCACCTTAGTTTCATTTTCAGAATTAAATTAATATAAACAAGATTAAATTAATTCGTGGCTTTTCATTTTTAAAAATAAACAGAATAATTTTAATTTAAAATTGTTTAAGAACAAATCATTGGAGACAAAAATATTGGTTTAATCCGAAAATATCTTATGTAACACATTTGGGTGGGTCAAGACAAAAATAAAAGTCAAAGTTGATATTCAAACTCAAAATTTCCTAGTCCATGAACCACATGGCTTTCACATCCTCAAATTTGTCTCCTTAGGCCGCTGCTACGATTCAACTCCATACATTCTCCTCTCTCTCCCTCACTTTCTCTTCTCATTTTCACCAAAACCAAGAACAAAAGTCTTCACTCATATTAATTAATGTCTACCACCTTGCACCATTTAGATGAAGGTGTGTCTGTGGAGGACAACTACTATGGCAGAAGCAGCAGCGTGAGTGAGATAGAGGAAGAGAATTCTTCACACTTGCACTTGAATAATGATGCTTCTAATCCTATGGTTACCATTAGTGAAGAAGAGAACCAAGGGGAAGAAGACATGATTTATGTGGCAGTTGGTAAGAGCCAGAGTAGCATGGAAGCCTTGTCATGGACCCTTAACAATTTGGCCACTCCATCTACCACCATGCTCTATCTCATACATGTTTTCCCAGAGATCAAGCTCCTTCCAAATCCATGTAACTTATCTTCCACTTTTCTCATCTCTTTTTTGTTTATTTATCTTTTATTTTGTTGTTTTGGTTTTTAGATTATAAATTTTCAATCACTCTTTCTTTTCTTCTTTGTTTCAATGGTAGATACTAGATTAGATAGGTGCAAGTTGCTCACACCCTGGTCCTACCTGTCAGGTTGAAATTTTAACCACCATGTTGTTTTTAAGACCAGAAAAAATTGTTGCCTCTAGGATCATGGGGTATAAGAAATGGTTGAAAGTTTGACATGGTCACCAAGTTTGCTTCTTTTTTTTTTTCCCAGTCCACTCGAGGTTTTGGTTTACTTCACTTTAACCCAGAAATTAATTTTGAGGGCTTAGAAGTTATTATTAATGATCCAAGAGTCAACAAAAATGACTAATAAAGATGGAGTTCTCAAGTCTCATCTAGTACAATGATTGAAGAAAAGGGTTCTGAATTTCAAGGACAAAAAGTCAAAACACGTGTGGACTGTGGAATTTTTTTCAGATTAGAATTTTCCTTTCTCAATGCAAATGGGAATTTTCTCAAGTTGAAGTTCAAATGACATTTCTAATTAACCACTTCTAGCCATATGCATTTGTGACTCTGTGAATGTCTTGCTCTTACCAAGTTACTACTGTGTTTGTATGATGACAGTGGGAGTGGGAATGATTCCAAAGGACCAAGTGAGTCCTGAGCAAGTAGAGAGCTACATGGCCCAAGAAAGAGGCAAAAGGAGAGAGCTTCTATACAAATACCTCCAACTATGCTCTGCTTCCAAGGTACTCATTCTACAACTACAATGGAAGTACTTTCCAATTTCAATCAAGACCTGAAGTAACAAAAATATGAAGCAGGTTAAGGTGGACACCATCCTGATTGAGAGTGACTTGATTGCAAAGGCTATAATGGATCTCATTCCAATTCTTCAAATAAGAAAACTAGTTATTGGAGCCAGTAAATCACAATTAAGGTAGATTGCATGCCACACTATCGATGTATTTGAGTACAACTTCAGTTTAGACCTATATAACAACACTTACATTTTGGTTGCACAGAAAATTGAGATCAAGGAAAGGGAGTAGCATAGCTGATCAGATACTTCAGAATGCTCCAGAAAGTTGCAAGGTGAGCATTGTATGTGAAGGAAAGGAAGTAAATGAACAGATAACTCGTGTCATTGCTAATGATACTTCCATGTCCCAGAAAAACAAGCATCAGCAAAATGGTTCGGTTTCTTGTGTTTGTTTTAACTTTTAAGACCAAAAACTTTGCATAACCATTGTGTGTGAGTGTGGTGTGACTATGAATTACAGCAGAGGGAATAGTTCCCTCAATGAATGTTGGTTTTAGATTTTGAAAAACCAACAGTGTTGATGATGAAAAATGAAGTGTTCAATGCCAGAGGAAAGTTTTCATACATGACCGGTTTCGGTTTATATAACTTGATTATATGCTAAACCCAAAAATTAGAGCATAATTTCAGGCAAACTCGTCTTATCTGCAACCAAGTAGAAAGTTAGCTTTTCTCATTTCTAATCACAAATTTGCCCTTAACGTGTATTTTCAAATGCATCTAGGTAACCTTTTTCATATATAGGTGGACCTTCGTAGGTCTATGACAACGGCAAACATTAATACAGTGCATAAAGAAAAGGAAAAATATTAACTAAAGGAAAGCATTTTGAATAACGTCATCATCTGCAATGTTTTTATATTTAGGGTCTGTTTCGAGAAATAACTTTCGTAAGATCTTATTTAATAAGTTATTACACAATAAAAACTTATATTATAAGTATTATATTTAAGATTTTATTTAATAAATTTTTATATAATAAAAATTTATGTTTAAGTACTTAAAATTTAATAAAAAATTATTGTATTTAAATATACATATTAACAATTGTATAATTTTTCGTTTTAAAAAAAGTATTTTTACAATTTTAAAATATTTAAATATATCATTATTTAAGCACTTATAAAATATTATCTCATTTTAAAAAATAAAAATATAAATTAAAATGAAATTGTACATCACAATAATAAAAAAAACTACTAGTCTCTATTTACCTAATTTTAGTTTATAAAAAAATAAAATTATAAACAAAATATTAGAAATTAAGTTTACATATAATCATGATTAAAAATTAAGAATCATAAATTTTAAAAATTAAATTTTTTATATATTTTATAAAATCATGAATGAAAAATTATTGTATAAATATTAACAACAAAATTATTCCAAATATGCTATTTTAGAGGAGAAAAAATATTATGAGATTTTTTTTAATAAGGAAATGTAGATTTTGAAAAGAAGAGATAAAAAAAAGTAAGAATAAAAACTTTTGGAAGAAGACATGAAAACTTTTGAAAGGAGTAACGAAAGAAAAAATAAATAAACACAACTGTTTTTAGTAAAAGAATAAGAAAAATAAAAATAAAAATTATTAATGTCAATTATATAATTCAAACTAAAGTATTTTTTCAAAGTTTCACATAAATTAAGTAATAAGTTATACTGGATAAATTAAGTAATAAGTTATACTGGATAACTTATTAAAATAAGTTTGGCTAAAAACTTATTCTGGTCTCTTATAATAATTGTTTGTTTCAATTTAGTCTCACTTTTATTTTTGGTCTCAATTTAGTCCCTAATAAATTAATTGGTTGCAATGTCGGACTTCCGTCAAAATTATTTAAACAGAGTTAGTTGTTGGCCACGTGGATGTCACATACATGGATAAGTGGATGCCAAATTTCATTAATGCATCTGGAACCAGAACGGTCCGTTCTCAAACTAGAATGACCCGTTCTAGTTGCACTATTGGTGTGTTAATTTTGAATTTGGAACAGGTCATTCCAGATGCAAAATTAACACACCAGGAGTGAAGCAGAACGGGACGTTCTAAAACCAGAACGGTCCATTCTGAAACCAGAACGAGCCGTTATGGTTTTAGAACGGGTCATTCTGGATTCAGAATGCGTCGTTCCAAAACGCCAACCACATACGTATGTTCAACAAAATGCTGCAATGTGATTCAAAAATTGAAAATAAAAATTCATAAATATCATAAATTCAAAGTCAGAAATATGATTCAGAGACCGAAAATAAAAATTCATAACATAACATAACATGTACTAAAAAAATTTAAAGAAATTATTGAGAAGGAAAATTATCTGGATAACGCTGAAGGTGTCAATAATACATCTTATCCACCATATAACACTGAATGACTGATAGGATATCAGCATTATCTACCTGTACATGTGGTTGTGTGGTGAAATGTTGGTCCTGTGTATCATCTTCCTTTACTTCAGGTTGTACCTCCTCAAGAACAAGTTGTTGTTGTTGGGGTACATCGGTCAATGACTTCAAATGAAAATACCATGTTGTTTCATCCTTGACTGTATAGTATAGTGTCAATTTAGTAGTAAGTGATTCACTCCAGTTTGACCAACAATGAAATAAAACTTGCTACCATTAGTGATACATTGCATTGTCCTTAATGATACACTGTATAGCCCAAATGTTTAGCAATTGAAGTTATCAATCCCCATTGACAATATTACCAAATCAAGTGTTTGAAATGCTTTGTACCTTGGGTTTTTTTCCTTGCACGAACCGTGAACTATAATCATCGACCATTTGTGTCTGGCATTCTGGAACTAGAACAGGTCGTTCTGGTTCCAGATGCATTAATAAAATTTGGCATTCACCTATGCATCTACGTGACATCCACGTGACCAACAGTTAACTCCGTTTAAATAATTTGAACGGAAGTCCGACATTGTAACCAATTAATTTATTAGGAACTAAAATGAGACCAAAAATAAAAATAAAACTATATTGAAATAAATAATTATTATAAGGGATCAAAATAGATTTTTAGACAATAAGTTTAAAATACTTTGTGTTCTTTATAAAATATCTTATAAGTTAATATAAATATTCTTATAAATATTTATAAAATAAAATAAGTATAAATAAATTGTTTATAATTTTTTTTCAAATAGGACCTTATATCTCCGTATCAATGGTTTTATAACACTTTCATGGTTTTAATAATTATAAATTAATGGTCATAGTTAGACCACTTTTACTATATCAATCAATTTATATTATTGATGAAACAAATATCTTTAACATTTATTGTAAGAATTTGTCCTTCTCGATTTAATTTTCATTTCTTCTTCGTTGATATATTTTTTGGTGTATGAAAGACAAATATTTTTTATGCTAAACGTTTAATGTAATTTATATCCTCTAAATTATAAGAATGAACAAAAAATAGAGAGAAGAAAATGGAGAAGACATTTACTTGTTTGATAATAATAATCTATAATATATGATTTGATGTATACAATTTTGAACAATTTTATTCTTATAATATATATATAATAAATCTCTCATTAATGAATAATCACTTTTTTTTAAACAATAAAGATATATAGTGTCTCTTCTCCACTAATTACATGTAATGTTTTAATTTGACTGAGTTTGATTAAGTTTGACTAAATTCATCCATATTTAACTCAATTAAGGTTTGAGTTTAGTAAAGTTTGTGTTTTTTATTGTCAAATTTGAATTCAATAAACATGATTAATTATTGAACCAAAACTTAAATATTAGTTTAATTTTTCTAAAAATATAAATAAAAGTTAATAAATAAATGAATACAAAATATATAAATAATGATTAAAAAAGAAAATATCATAACAATGAATTGAGTCATCAAGTTTGTGAATGCAAAAACAAAAACTCTTTAACCAAGTTAAAAGTTACAAATTAAGTTTGAATAAATTAAGTTGAATCAAACAACTCCTAAAACTAAACTAATGTATCTGAATTAGATTGACTTGGATTTATAAGTTAGATATGAAAAGACTCTAAAGTTCATTAAATGATATGATTGCATATCATTGAATTATAAGTAAAACTTTTTTCATACTAGCTAATAATGTATCCAAATGATATTATTATATTCAATGAAAATAAAAAATGATTAAATATTAATCCTTATAAATTTTGAAATATTCGCTTTTAGTCTTCTAATAAGATCGTAACATTTATAGAAATATATATATATATATATATATATTATATTATTATATATATATATATATATCAAGCTAATTATTGTGTTTCAAATAAAATCATCTTTTAACTTTTCTTTTATGGAAATATTAAACGAAATAATTTAATTTTAACTTATACAAATATTAGAAACTAAAAGCAAATATTACCTTACGACGATGAAACATATATTTAATCCATATAAATAAAGTCCGAAAGAGTGAATATGAATATTTGTAAATACTTATTTGTTACGAATAAAAAAATGTAATTTATATTTGGGCCACCTAAATCGTGGAAAATCCCTATGTAACGAAACTGAAAAGTCATTTTTAACTAGCAAATATTCTATACATCGTATTTGTTTTATTTAATTTAATTTAAATTTTAAGATATTATTTAAAATTATTTACGTGAACATTATTTAAAATTATGAGATATAAATAATTAATTCAATGAATAAGCAAAAAATATAATACAATCTTAGAAGAATAAAAATTACGGGAACATTTATTTAGAAGGGAATATCCGGTGTTCGATTCCCATCTTAGGCAATAATACTTCATATGAGCATAATAAAAGCATTTTTTAAAAAAGAATTAATTTGAAAGTGTATATAATTAAGATTTGAAATTAAAATTAAAATAATATTTTTAGAAAATTTTATTTAGGAGAAAAATAAAACTATAATTTATAAATGAAAATAATTAATAATTAGAAGAAAAAAAATAAAATAAAAAGTAATAAATAATGATAAAGATATTTAATTTTAAAAAAAAAAGATCTAGACAAGTATAAGTGAATTGTAATTTTTAACCTAAAATTATTCTTTTTACTACAAATAATCTTTTTATTTTTGTTGTTGATACAACCATTGTTGCTACCACACTACTACCATTAACACTAGTTTGCTCTCATCATTTTTTAACTATATCCTCACTTTTTACCTCATCAACACAATTATCATTATTATTGATATATATTGGAGATAATCCTAGCCCTTCACCTTTTATGTTATTGTCATCATTATTGTCTCAATGCCACTTGTTGTTCATCACCATTGTTGTGGTCTATGCATTATTTTTTTTAACTTAAAATCTCATTTAGTTTTATTCACAACTTTTTTCTAATTAAATGAGTAAAATAAAGTTATAAATCATCTTAAAATTCTAATTCATTACATAATTCAAATATAAATATTATAATTCATAACCATATTGGAATCGTGATTCCATTTCCAAACAAGAAACATAGGCTATTATATATATAAGGAAATTCCTACTGGGTAAACGATATGATCAATTGTTAGGTTATCGATATAAATTTTAATTAATTAACACAAGTGTCCAATGTAGTCATTATCTAATCTCCCGTGTGAAAGAGGCAGCATAAAAATTTAGTATATATTAACATGTGTGTGATTTGACTTTTTAATTAATTTAAATGGAGGTTTGTCCATAGTTTTCCTCATGGCAGAAGCCCGTATACCCTCTAACTTGGTCTTCATTTCTCTTTCAATTTTTATTTTTATTTTTTAAAAAATCTGTCTAGTCCTTAACTTCATATAACTTTCTTATTTTAATTAATTAATTATCCTCGTATCACTTTCATTATTTTCATTAGTAAATAAAAATTGTTCGTACACCGCGTACTCCTTGTTCGCATTGTTCTAATCTATATGCATTCTCAAATCCATAGTTGAAGTTTCGTTTTAGCTACGATTATATAATGAAACTCTGATCTAATCCAAAATTCAACTCAATTTTTTGGTCAAGTTTTTCTCTAATCATAAAGTCTACAAACTCATAGAGAAACCAAAGTTGATATATACATATAAACTTGGAGACAATCATTAGATGTCAATCAAGATGTCAGATGAAACGAGGCATGATTGTTTGCACTACGATTGCAATGAAGAAACCTTTAATTGTTCTTGTGGTTTCATCGGATTCAGGAGAAACCAAGTGTTTGACTTTGATTGCAACACCAACGACGAGGATTCGGAGGAGTTGTTTGAGATCAATCTTAAGGAGCCATTGGATACAATATCTGAAGACTGCGAGAGCAGTGTGTTCTCTTTCGATATTCACAACAACGAAAAAGATGTTGTTCATGTGGCAGTGGACCACGTTGGAGAATCAAGCATGGAAGCACTTTTATGGACTTTGAAACATGCTGTCACACCCTCTACCACTGTCTCTCTCATACATGTTTTTCCTCAAATCAGGTTCATCCCAAGTCCATGTGAGTTATGTTATGTTTTATAGTCTCAATAAAGAGAAATTATTAGGTAGTTCTTACCCAGGTCTCAATTATTTTTTATGTGACATACAAATGAGTGTTATTAATTCTTTTTGATAAATTAAAATTCTTATTATCTGTCAGGTAAAAATTGATCAGAACAGTAAACATATATATAGTAATTTTGAACCATACAATAATTTTTCCTATATAAAAGGGTTACTTGTAATTGGTGCAATTCAAGGAATGAATAACATGTTACCATTTTGATTAGTAAAAATGCTGAAGTCAATGGGTGAATGAAGTGATTGTTTTAATTTTAATTAATGAAGCCATTAATTTAGCTATGACTTTGTGGGGTTGATCGTATTGCTTCTGATGTTTGATGACATTGGCAGTTGGAAAATTTCCAAGGAATCGTGTAAATCCAGGGTATGTTAACTATTTCTTGACTCAACACAAAGGCAAAACGAAACTGCTCCTTCAAAAGTTTATTGACTTGTGCCTTGATTCAAAGGTAAAGAAATCACCACCACCCTCATATATTCATCTTCAAATGAAAAATTATTAAATAATCTTAGCTACCATAATTCTTAACTAATATCTATATGATATGAAATCGAATGTTAATAACTTTTCTTTTGTAAATTGAAAATTTTAAATATATATACTTGATAGCCCTAAACTACCTAATAATTCATCTTTATGAATACAATCTTGATTGAAACACAATTAGATACTAATTATAAATATTTTTTCTAGTAGAGATTTGAATCTTAGTTTGTCATGCTATGTCTCCTTCAATCAAACCGGACTCTCCTAAATTATAATTTGCTTGAAAAAATATCATTTTGACAAAATTTGATCTTTAATTTGGAGAGAAAAACAACAAATATTATAGTCTTTCAAAACTATAGATGTGAGTCACTTCTACACTTTCATCTTTTTTAACTAATTACTCACTAATGATTTTTTCACTCATTCACTTTTTTAGTGAATAATTATGCATTAAAAATAGAAAGAAAATAGCTGAAAGACTGAAGTATCTAAACTTTTTGTAATCTTGAGGAACTATTTAGTGACTTTATTTTCTTTAGAAACTAAATTGAGTCGAGTGATTTTTTTGTTTGAGAAACTATTTTGCATTGATTTGATTGTATGTAATGGTAATAACACACAGGTTAAGGTGGAAATAATGCTTATTGAAGATGACAACGTTGCCAAAGCTATAACGGACCTTGTTAGAGATCATGGTGTAAGGAAATTGGTGATAGGAATTACCAAATCCAATTTAAGGTACCATCAACCATGGCTTACAATATCTGAAATCTGAAATTAATTAATAACAATAGTCTTTTACTAATGTGTCGTTATTTTATTTTATTAATGGGATGAGTAGCAAATGTGTCTCTAGATGGGGAAATGGAATAGCAGATAATGTCCTCAAGAATGCACCAGAAATCTGTGATATTAAAATAATATGTGATGGAAAGGAAGTGATTGATCAGATGATTAGTTGCACTATATCAGGCTCCGATGACAGCAACAGTTCAAGTGTTTCACAACAAGAATATGAATCCCATGCTGTGGTTCCTCTTATGCGTTTTGTGCCCAATCCTATATGGTTGTTTAGACCAAAATTTTAATCAAAGATTTTGTATAACTCTTCCTTTTTCGTTGATCCAAATGTTAACCTAGGAATAAATATTCTTCATACACAGATTTTGTGGTCACACTCAACCCAGTCTTATTTTATTATTTCAAAGTGAGATGCTTTTAATTTAAATAAAGCCACCAAATATTAGTGTTACACCTTAAACTGTATATATTACTTAGGACAAAGCTTATACCCTTTTTATTTTTTTTTTATTGCTTAGGAATATTTCTTTGTTGGATATGATAATTAATTTTCTTCAGGGACTTTATAAACATCAAATAGGTGATATCTCTTTTCAACTTAAATTTTCTATATTTACAAGAGTTAAAATTCAATTCATAACCATTTGGTCAAATGATAATCACTTAAGTAAAAAATGTGAGTCTCTTACCACTAGTATTAACTCAAATTAGTATAATTATACTCTAAAAGATGGTTATTAATTTTTAAAAAATAAATCACTGTAAGAGATAAGGAAAAATTGATGTTCTTATCCTCCATCCTCCATCTCCCATTACTTTATTATTATGAAGCTCTGCTATCCGAAGTACTCGGCAATATACTTGAGTTAAGGAATTCCATGTTTCCTTTGCTTTCTTGTAGAAAAAATTTGCTCTTGGTATTTGAAAAACTTGTTAGATAAAGTGATAGTATTAATAATGAGACAACATACCTTGATTGCGTATGTTCAATTCTCAATTTTTTGGGAATGGTAGACGATGATGGCTTTAGATTAACAAGGGTCGATGTTACTTTATGTATATCCAAAATGGTGTATAAATCAATTGATCTAGCTTGAGATAAGATTAAGATTATGTATATATATAGAGAGAGAGAAGTGGTTAGTCTTTCAAAATTAAATTTAAAATTAGAATATAAATTGATAGGATTTGAGACGGTGAGATAAATTCAATTAATTTATTATGTTTTTAATTATTTAAATCGTATATATTTTTTTATCTTTTAAATTCAAAAATACGTCTTTAGTTTCTATAACTTTTTAATATATATATATATATATATATATATATATGTATACTA